AAAAAAAAAAAAAAAAAAAAAAACCTAACTAATATCACTAACTTTCAAAATTAAAAATAGAAACTCACAAAACTGACAAAAAGAAAATAATAATAAAGAAAAAAAAATTGAAATGTTAGATCTGACCTTTAATTATCTCTTTGGAGTTGTTGACTATATTTTTCTTAAGTTTTGATTTTTAGTTAATAGCACAATCGGACTCCAATAGTTCATTGTTGGTCATGTTTTTGAGCATGTTATGTTGAAGCATAAACATATGTATATGTATAAAGGTACATTTAATATGGTAAGTGTGGGTGTCATAAGTGGGAAGAGTAATTACTAGTGTGAAGAATTAAAATCACCATGCTTCCATATCTCCCTAATGTGTTCTCTCTCTAAAACCTCCCATTCTATTTCAGTGGAAACTTGGTGTTAATGCCTTGGAGCCCAGTAGCGCTGTCACTGCCTCCATTAACACCCGGTTCTTTGTGAGGTATGTTAACTTCTATCCGGCGATTGGAAGATCTGGGGTTTCTTAGTTTATAGTTCTAAGTGTAGAATATCCTACATTTCCAAACTAGGGGATGAAATTACTAAACCGGCTGAATCTGATTTTGTAGGCCTGGAATATTACCTAGGAGGTAACTCAGGAATCAAACATTCCTTAATTCATTCTCGTTCACCGTCAGTCAATACTCAAGCAAGATTCATTCTCCTTACTTAACTCCTATTCATTCTTGACTCATTGCCTGATTTCTTTCTCGTCAGGTTCAGGAGCTCTGTTCTGTCTAATTCTTGAGGAAAAGAGGATAGGTTCAGGCAATGGAATTGTTCAACCGAGTTGGAGAGGTGAATGAGTTTACATTTACGCTTGGTGAGTCTATTTGTTTAAAGCCTATTTACTTATAACTGACGAGCTCTGATCTTTTATATATTTTTCCAGTAGTAATTCTAGGTACTATTGCATGTAACGTGGGTTTAGCGGTTCTAGAACCATCAATGATTGGTGAACTCGCAGATCCATTTGCAACTCCTTTGGAAATATTGCCCGCCGGCGGCGGACTCAAGTGCCCCCAGAACCGTGCGAAATGGTCGCATTAGCGGATTCATTTTCTGTGGTTTCCCTGATCAAACTAGAAGTTACCAAGGAACCATGCATAGCACTGAATAGGGAGCCGCCGAATACACCAGCTACACCTAACATGTGGAATTGGTGCATAAGGATGTTGTATTCATTGAGGTTGATCCCGAAGTTACGAAGCCAATTTGATCCCTAAAGATAGACAGAAGATAGAATTTTCTAACCCTTTGAGCGAAATGTGGCAAAAGGAAGGAAAATCCATGGACCGACCCCATTGTCTCCACCCCGTAGAAGACAAGATGAGACTGAACCCTTGACTCTATCTATTACCTTCCTTGAACCTAGGTTATTTTGGAATGTACTCTTTGTGTTCGAAACGGTGTTAATAAGGAATCCGTGGGGATTTCCAGATATATTACTCAAAAGAATCAACACAATACGCCTAGTCGCTCCGAAAGGGTCTACTTTTCTTTCTAACTGGGATAGCAGGGTTGAATAGATGTACGGTCCCATTGCTTCGCTCCTGAACATGATTTTATTTTAATAGATGCCTTTTGCTTATGTCAAGTGCAAATAAGAAAAAAGGTATTCCAAAGTCTTCTTTTTTAAGATCCACGAACATATCAAAAACATCATTAGAATATATTTTAGAATATATTTTTTAAGACTACGGAATTATTTGGTACAGTGACAGTTTTAGTCACAGTTTTGTAATTACATGGCTTTAAAATATTTTTTATGTAAATAATTACAAATTTAGTCATTCACATTCAAGGCAGAAAACACGTAAATGAAGCAGGAAACCATGGATGGACGAGAGAGAAACATGGAGGAAAAAAACAATGAGCGAACAAAGTATCGGAAAACTGAGAACCAACGATCTTTCAAGAAAGTCTCTTAAGATCACACAGGATTGCATTTTCTCAGTCCATAACAGGAACGAAACATTCCGAAGACAAGAAACATTCAACAAGAAATCAGACGGAACGCTAAACTCCATCGATTTTCATGTAGAAAGTATCTCTCGGAGATCAAACAACAAACGAAGAGTAGCAAAAAACAAACGAAGAGTAGCATAATCTTCGTTGATATCAGAAATCAGAGCTCGCGTTAGAAAACGTGATTCCTAACACTAAGACTATCACGGAGTTTGCGAGAAAATGAAGCAGTACGTAGAAAGATCAAACAGAAACAAAAAGCAATAGCAACGAACACAATCAGAGATTGAAGAATCGAAGCAAACAAAAAAAAAACAACGAAGGATAAAAAAAACTCGTACCTGTCGCCGCTGCAAAACTCATAGAGACGGCCGCGGTTGGTGAAGATGACGAGTCCGACCTCAACGTCGCAGAGAACAGAGAGTTCTCGAGCCTTCTTGATTAATCCAGATCTTCTCTTGCAGAAAGTCACATGGCGATTACACATATCTTCGATCCGCTTCAATTCGATCTTCTTCCGTCCCATTTCTCTCGTGTCTCAACAGTCAACCCTAATTCCTCTTACTCTCTTCTCTTCACTCTCCTTTTATCTTCCTCCCAAACCATTCACAAAACGAAGCCCCCTCTTTTTGGTCGGTTTTTCTTTTAATTTATATATATATATATATTTTTTACTTTTATTTTCTTTTTCCGCTTCTCGTTTTCAGTAAGCCTAATACCAGTGAAGGGCGGAAATTAAAAAAAAAAAGAAAGAAAAAAGAAAGAAAAAGAAAAGAAAAATAAAATTAAGAAGCGGAGCGTTTTGGTGACGACACGTGTCGCGTTTTGGTGAAGTCTGTCAGAGTAGTTGTGGCTGCGAAGCCCTCACGTACAGTGCGCCTATTTTCAATTTAAAATTCATAAAAGAAACAGTAAATTGTACGACGCAATTCTTACCGCACGTTTCGGAGGCGTTTTGTTGGAGGCTTAATTTTTTATTATTATTATTATTACTTTTTTACTTTTGGGTGAAAATTGCAATTTGCAAATGAAGAGAGAAAAAAATGAACGTTGTGGGCCTCATATATTAATATTATATTAGACAAAATTATATATTATCTCGGTTAACTCAAAAGTTAAATTTTTTTAAGATGCATGTAAGTGATGATAAAACGTGTTTGAATCCCTCGTGGTTAATTTATAAGGATATTCTTCCCTCTTATGAGCACGGGAATGTGAGACTATTTGGTGTTGAATTTAGATTCCAAATCATCTCTCGTCAATCATTAGTCTTCCATCCTTTTAAAAGGAAAATTGCGAAGTACGTGCCTACGCCCTTTACCCCTTCTTATCTTATTCAATGACCGCTGAACTTCCATACTCGAAGCTCATTTTGAAGGATTTGGTAAACTAAACACGATTTATATTCATGCTATTTTCTTTTTAGGATTCATAATATTACAATATTAAAATTATATCCTAATGTTGAGTTACTATATTATATATATTGGAAGCATATTCATATAGTTTCATAAAATTGAGGTAAATTTTAAATTTTAAGAATTAAATTTATAATTTAATTATATTTTTACTTTGTTAAAAATGGAATGACCGGCTTTTACCCAGAAGGGATAAAAGGGAGGAATACAGAGCCCTAGTGCTCTGCCGTGGCTTCGTCTGTAAACCTACGTGTCACTTCCTCAGCCAAGAATAAATAACAGAGCAATTTTGCACTTTAACTGTCTTGTATACAAAAATGAAAAATGTAAAATTATACATATTAACTATTATATTATTATTTACTGCTAAGATTATACATATTTAGATTATTGTTGATTCAAATCATACTGATTTAATTATTTAGTCACTCAATTGATTATTATTTTTAATTTAGTTGTCTTTTAACTATTAAAATTAGCTTATCATAAACTTAGATGGTATAATACTTTGTTGGGGTGTATGGTTAGGAATCACGACTCTCTACAATAATATGATATTGCCCACTTTAAGTATAAGCTCTCATGGCTTTTGTTCTGGGCTATGGGCTTTGTTGGGGTGTATGGTTAGGAATCACGACTCTCTACAATGGTAAGATATTGCCCACTTTAAGTATAAGCTCTCATGGCTTTTGTTCTGGGCTATGGGCTTTGTTGGGGTGTATGGTTAGGAATCACGACTCTCTACAATGGTATGATATTGCCCACTTTAAGTATAAGCTCTCATGGCTTTTGTTCTGGGCTATGGGCTTTGTTGGGGTGTATGGTTAGGAATCTCGACTCTCTACAATGGTATGATATTGCCCACTTTATGTATAAGCTCTCATGGCTTTTGTTCTGGGCTATGGGCTTCTCCAAAAGGCCTCATACCAATGGAGATGACCTTTTGTTCGACACTTTAGTCATTTTTGACTACACCATTGAAGCTCACAATTCTTTGTTCAATATTTGAGAATTCTATTGACATAATAAGGCATGACTCTAATATCATGTTAGAAATCACGACTTTCCACAATGGTATGATATTGTCCACTTTGAGCATAAGCTCTCATGGCTTTACTTTAGGCTTCCTCAAATACCTCGTACCAATGAAGATGTATTCCTTTACTTATAAACCCACGATCATTCCCTAAATTAGCCAACGTGGGATTCACTCCCAATAATCCTCAACATGTACGAAGATTGGATTCAAGTGATTTTTTGGACCAACCCATAAGTTTGGGTTGGTTGGATTGGTAACCCAACCCAACTCGTGCTTTATTTTTGGGTGGGAGGTTTTTCATCCAAAAAGCAAATAAAAAAGTAGGAATGCGTGCCGTGTGAAGGAAGAAGAATGAAAAACTAAGTAGTGTGTAGCTTCTTCATAATAGTCTTAATGAGATGAGTAGCGAAAAACGAAAGAAAAAGACGGTAAATAATAAGTCGAGTGCAAGAAAGAGCGAAGAAGGAACTAGACGAATCGTAGCTACACCACCAAAATTTTGTGTATGAATTGAGCCCCGACTAAAGTTTTAATTTATCATTTAAAAAAAATATAATCAGTTTGTTACAAAAAATTAATACAAGGTAATAATTGGCACCGTTAACCAATTTATTTAACTCATTGCAGTAAAATTTAGATAAATCATTACCAAACGTTAACGGTAAGAAATAGAAAAGTGCATTTTATGGACAACGAGCCCAGTTCTGGTATAATGGGCCTGAAAATGACCCAATAAAACGTGCCTCTTTATACTGCCTAGTGGCCCATGAGGGATGGAGGCTCCATTCAAACATACATTGTTTGAAAATTCATAAAAATTAATTATATTTTATTTTTTATAAATTCTTTTGTTATAAAATATGTACACACGAAATTTTTTTATGAGGGAATAAATCATATGTTACAAGGGTCTGGAGATCTCTCCTAATGAAGATTTTAAATTTATAGAGTTGTTGTAACAGGCCAAAGCGGATAATATCAGCCAGTAGTGTGCTTGGGCTATTACATTTCACTATTGCAAGTCGTTTTTCCCCCTTAAACTGGTAAAATAAAATAATCTTTCAGTCCTAATATAAGAAATATTGCAAGAAAATAAATAAAAATTATAAAAAATACACACAAACTTACAACTTTATGAAAAAAGAAGAAAAATAAGGAAATTACAATTGTTGTTCAAAAAGCAAAGTCATAGCATACACATAATTAGCTCACAAAGACTAAGTGCAGAGTTTGTATTAATTATATATATAAATATATATATATATTATATATAAGTTCCAAGCATGAAAATTGATTTTTTTTTTCTTTTTTTTCTTTTTTTGGGAGGAGGGGGTTTAGAGGTGAGCAACAGAAGCAAAGAAAAACACTGCCCTTTTCTTTCTCCAATTTTTGAATGGAAAAATTTCCATCTCCTTGTTGTTTCTCAAGGCAACCATCCTGGGAGGAAATTATTCATGCTCGGCCCAGCAGTCACCACTGTTATGGGATCTGGCTGATACCTGCAAATTAATCATCTTTAGCTTCTTATAAATTTGTTCTTCTATTTCACATTAATCCTACAAAATTCTCACCCCGACCTAGTTTGAATCGGGCGTTATGATTCTAGATAGGACTAGAACTAGCATAAATCATGCTAATTGTAATACACGAAATTAACGTACCTCATCTAGCATAAACTATGTGTTCTCGATCAAGAGCTCAAAAAGTTTAAATCATTAGCATAGTTCAACTAGTATAAATATATATTCTCAATCTAGAGGTCAAAAGTTAAATCTTCAATATAGCTCAATAGTATAAAGTTCAAATCTTCAACATAGCTAATGGTAAATCATGCTAATCGTAATACACGAGATGAACGTAGCTCAATTAGCATAAACTATGTATTTTCGATCCAGAGATCAAAAGTTGAAATTTTCAGCTAACTTTGAGCTAGTTTACAGTACACAAACCCTACCAATTCAATAAATCTAGACTCGGTACCTACTATACAAATTCAAACTCAAGAAAACTATGGGCCGAATGTGCCCAAATAGCGCCAAGACGTTAAAAAAACGTAAGAATAAAAGATTTTGGGAAGAATAGAAGAATATTTACCCAATTTGTAAGGTGGGTTCACAATCTAGAGGATGAAAGAAGGCATCGCTAGGAGGCTGAGCTTGTTGTCTTCCATACATCATATCATCAGCACTTTGGTTCAATTGGAGTGCATTTACTTGATACCCTTCAATCAACTGTAATCCACAAATTTACACCAATTACAAAATTTTCTAATATATATATATATATATATATATATATATATTTTAAAATAATATTATCAACAGATATGTTTTTATACCCTTTGTTTCAGTGTCTTGTTTGCTTCGTTAAGAAGATGTTCCTGAAAGTTTGTTCAAACAAAAACAAGACTGAATGCTCGTAACTTTTTAGATCGAAACCTATCAAACTCATTTTTATAACCATGTAACTATAGTGTTCGTGTCGTGTCGTATATGTGTTCATGTCCTCATACCTTACGTTGAAGATCAGTGAGCTGATCTAGCATGTACTGAGTCTGCAAAAGATTAGAAAAGGATTGAATGAGAAAGATTATAATTTTGGATGGTTTTATTAAAGGCAATGGAGAAGTTGAAGAACTACCCTTGTTGATCTGATCTGCTTGAGTGACATATCAAGCTGCCTTTCAAGAGATTCAAGTTCTTTGCTACTCAATGGGCCAAGGTCTTCTCCCAAAAGGTTCCTGCTTATATTTAAATTATCACATAAAAAGAAAACATAATTACTAAATAACCGAGCGTCTCCGAACCAACTAAACACGACTCGATTAATCTCATTATGTGTTTATTTAAACTTTAATGTAAATCGATAAGTTATTGTACATATAATCTCATATCATTACTTTAAACTTCCTTTCCCTTGTCGTTGTGAGTTTGAACGATTGTAGAACTTTCAATTAGAGGTTTACACGAGTTAGGTTGAGTTGGAAAGATCTTTTGAACTAACTCAAAATTTTGAGCTTGTTAGATCAGTGACCCAAACCACTCAAATAAAATTCACAATTCAACTCAACCCAACCTAATCCTAATCCTCTATTTTCAGATTAGGTTGGATTCGATTGTCGGATGTTTATTTGTAATTATTTTTAAAAAGTCTACTTATCCCATGCTACATTAATAACTAAAATC